TCTGATGTAAAGTTCAAAATTTATAGTTTCACTGCATGTCATGGACGATCCATTGTTTGCTGTTTGCACTGGAGCAGAATAAGAAGTCACACCCGTAATAATTTAGCAGAGATGTCATCATTTGGAATTGGATGATTTCCTTTGACACTGAAGCAGCCATTGTAAAAATTGTAATCATTAGCTGAGATGTTTGCACGGGATCAGCCAAATTGCTTACTCAGAAGGTGGCTTAAATCTCCAACCAAGATGTCAGGTTGGTTACACACAAATCTAAAAATTGAATTCCCTCAATTGTCAGGAGAATTAAGCCTCAGTATGACTGAATCCAAATCTTGAAGCATTTGATGTCTTTGTCATCTCATCACTTTTTGTTCCCATCCAGTACACATCTTCTTCTGTCATGAACTGTATTCGGTGTTTCCCAATGGCAATGTAGCCCTTTTTCTCCTTGTTCTTGTTTTATTTTGATGGTCCATTTGTCCCTCTCTGTAGTTTACTGGGACCATCTGCTTCTACACATTGCCTCTCTCTCTCTCTCTCTCTCTCTCAGTTGCAAACCACGGAGTCCCTCACTCACATCCAACTTTAATCTATTGGGCAAGAAAGGTGGATCAGAACACGCTTGGTTGAGCTGAGCACGAGCAGTTTTGAGCTCCAACACAAAGCCAAGCATATAAAGCAGTTCGTGGGGCCATTTTTGGTCCCAAGCATGGGATTCTTCTTATCGTATTCCTTTTTTGCATTTACTTTTAGATTGTACGAAACTGCACCAAAAAATGCCTCCCATCTCTTGAAGATACGTAAAGAGAAAGACACACACACCAATCCCCTCCACAAGACAACAGCATCCCACACCTCTCTCCCTGGCTTTGCTCTTCCGACTCCGACGGCAACCTGCTGTTCCAAGGGAAGAGGATTTAGGAGAAGGGGAAGAATGTGCGGTGGTAGGTCCACGAGGGCCTTGGTTACTGGCCTAGTATGCTGCTTGTGTATCGAGCTCCTTCTCTCTGCATCCACGATTAGCGGAGGAACACCACCGCCGGTGCCTGTTGCAGTCGTGGCTTCAGCAAGAGACATGCTCACCATGAACAGGAGCTTGGACCCGCTCAATGCCTGCAAGAGGAGAGTGCCCAAGGGGCCTGATCCCATTCACAACAGGTACACAATACAGCTCACGATGTTTTCGCTTAAGCTTTTTGAGATCTACCGAGCTCTATAGGTTCTTTTCCTGGTGCTTGTTTGCACAACTTGCGATTGATTTCTTCCTGCTCGTTCTCGTCTCATTATGAAATCGATGCGTAGCATATCTAAGGTAAGACTTTGTGACTGTTGGGATCGATGAAGCTGATACTGCATCGTGTCTATGGGTGTGCTTCTCAGGAGATTGGGGAGACTTCGACAACCTCCGGTCGAAGCATAGTGGTGCGCAAAAGAATGGAGGCTTCTGTTCGCAAGAAGGATTGCAGAGTGTGGGTCTCAGCTTGCATGTCGCCATGAAATGCGCCACCTTCAATGACTCCTGAAACATTAGCCACGCATGACATCCTTGCTTTGCCGACTGTTGTTGAAACAAGCAGTTCATTCTAGAAATCTTGATGTGAAAAGATTTGTCATCCTCTTTACTGATTTAGAAGGAAAGTAAATCTAATACACTAAGATCGATCACAAAAGAACAATCCTACTAGCAACTATACTACCATGGCTTGCCATGGAAAGATGAGCAAATCGAAGAGAGTTTAATCTCTCTCTCTCTCTCTCTCTCTCTCTCTCTCCTCTCACTGCATGTGCATGTGTATGTGTGAGGATATTGATGTGGTTTACTGGCGGTGAGAAATGAGCAGTGTAAGGTCATCGAGAAAATAGCTTAAATATGCATGACAATTCATCTAGTCTCGTATCAATCGACTTAGCTATGGAATGACACAAAGCAGGAGGAGAGAGACCGTATATCCAGAATGGCAATTCAACTACCAAAGTAGCTTTCCCTTTTGCTTCTCTCTTTATTGGTTCTTTTCTTGCACCATCTTTGAAGAGACCGGGGAGCAAAGACAGTGTCCCAAGCAGCAGACCTGTTTCACGGATCAGATCTCAATCATGTCACCACCATCTCCAACCAGGATGTTCTAACACCTGCACAGCTGTGGCTATCGATTATATTTAATCTTCTGGGATATCGAAGCTCAAAGTTAGTCAAGATAAAATAATGCTAAAAACATAAAATTACTATAAAATAATAATAATAATAATAAAATAAATCTTATTCTAACTAGAAAATCAATTGAAACACCATTCAAAATCAACATCTCTTTTGGAAACAGTGTCATCAGATGTAGTTTATTTTTTTAATTCATTTTATTTTTAATATATCTAAAATACTCCTTTGCAAATGTATCAAAATATTTTTTTTTTTACTTCTCCTCTTGTTTATTTTCTTTCTTCCTTCTCCATTTCATCTTTTTCTTCTTCTAACTTTCTTTTTCCTTTTCGGAGGTAACAGAGCCGACAGAAGATCGACTCCAAACAGATAGATTGGATCGATAATCGGTATAGCGCCTTCCTCCTCTTCCGTAGCCAACAGAGCTGATGACGATCACATCAATGAAAGATCGACAATCAGTAAATTATTTTTTATTAATTTTTATAAAAAAATATACGATGATAAAAAGAGGACTTTAAATAATAAGAAGCTCGTCAAATAGTGGGTCAAGTTTTAAATTATGACCAAGACATATTGGCCGAGTGGTATGAAGTTTCCAAGTCAGCATGATTGATTCGATCGAAATGGAATCCGAGTCGAGTCTTGCACGAGCCAAGACACGATGGTGACCGGAAGGTTCGATTGCTTTGTTCCATCTCTTCGTCCATTGAATCCATTTTGTCAAGTAGTGGGCCAAGTTTTTAGCCCTTTATTACGACCAAGACAACATGGGCGGGCCGTCGGTATGAAATTTCCAACCCAGCACGATTGACTCGATCGAAACGGAATCCAATTCGAGTCTACCGAGCCGCTCCATTACAACCAAAGACGTGATTGGTGATTGACGGTATGACTGCGTTGTTCTATCTCTCCATCGAATCCCTCTTTTTTTTTGTTTAAGACTTAACTGCGTTGTTCTATCTCTCCATAGAATCCTTTTTTTTTTAAACTAAGCTTCTAGACTTAAAAATTTTATATTAAAATTTTTATAATTATGAAATCAAAATATCTATCTCCATTTGTCCTAAATAAAAGCACAAAAACAATTGACAAAAAAATAATTTCAACATCTGAATTATATTTTCGGACAGATGGCAATTGCGAGGGATTGTGACAACTATATGAACGTTGATATAGATGCTAAGCGGCCCTTGTCTCGACGCCAACGTAGTTGTCGAGTAATGCCGACGTAAATGCAGAGCGATGGTCTACTATGAGCCAAACACAGCCTTCCTTTGTAGAGCCTACAACGCGTTCGTCCATGGAGCTAACTTCCTCATGGCTCATCACGTCTATCAAGTCACCTATGCCACTTACCACTCCCTCAATGTTGGTTGTTGCATCTCCGGCATAGGTCCACCCCCTCTGCACTTCCCACGATCTCGATCTTGTATCCTCCTCTTCGTACTACATGGCCTCCTCATCCTCTAACTCTTGTCTTTCCACGTTCGAGTCCACAATAATACCTCAGGCGAAGAAGCCCACAGATCCTTGACAAATGACCATGAAGCGACCACACAAGGTGATTAAGGAGAGGGTGGCGATCGTCATCTAAGGTTGGAGACGAAAGATGGGGTTACGGAGCGGATGATGGTGCATGGAAGCAGTGGCTCACGTGGTTGACCTACTACACCAAGAAACAATCATGACCCTACCACTACAAGTGGCCCTCATGGCCATGTTGCGATTCGCCATCAACCTCCAAGAGCAGGATGCGAGAGCGGAAAGGGGTAGTTGGGCGACGCTCCGACAACTAGAGGTGTACTCCAAAGTTACGACCGTTAGTGTCGAGGGAGTGGCAAGAGGCATAAGTGATCTAGTGGACGTGGCAAAGCCACGAGGAAGTTAGTGCGGTGGACAAACGCGTTGCAGGCCCAACAAAGGAAGGTCGCATCTGTCTCGCAATAGATCGTCGCTCTTTCGTCTCTCTACATCTATGTTGGTACCGATGCAGATGTCGAGTGGTCCTTTCGTCGCTCTATATCTGCATCGATGCTGCTTTACATTTATGTTGATGTCGACACAATTGTCACAACCCCTAACGGTGTCGTCGTTTATCACCATTGAAAACGTAATTGTAATATTGAAATTATCTTTTTGCATATCGCTTTCATACTTCCGCCAATAAAACCGATGACATTAGGAGAAATTAAATAAGATATTTTATTTTCAAAACCATAGAGATTTTAATTTAAATTTTTTAAGTCTAAAAATAGAAATACTAAAAAGTATAACTGTGCAATCCAATACGAAGATAATCTATAATTAACCTAATGTTAAGCCCACGACGACCAAGACATCGTGGGCTGCCGGCATAAAATTTCTAAGCCAGTACGATTGATTCGGTCGAAACGGAATCCGAGTCGACCAAGAGCCGTTCCGCGGCCAAACGAAGCCGGTCGGACCGGACCGGACCGTGGCACCCCAGGTTACACCTTTGAAACGATGACGATGGAGTTGACTCTAAAGGCTAATAGCTTACGTGTCTCACCTGCCGGTCGTCGCATCACAATGCGGTGAGCGTCTCCCGACGTCCTCCAATCATATGGCAGGTAGGACGTCGAGTAGTTCCGAAGAGTACTCCTCAGCTCACTCTCAATCCTGTGGGCGCAGCATTTGAAGCTTTCATCTCCTTCGCACGCAGTACAGAGAAGGTCAAAAACAAGAGAGAGAGAGAGAGAGAGATGTCTCCGTAGCTCCAGCCGCAGGAAACGCAAAACCAAAAAGCACACGGTGGGCGCCTATGAAACCTTCGAACTCTCCTTCCAACGTCGCTTGCTTTTTATAACGCAGCGATGAACAAGGAACAAACACTTCCTCCACCGCATCCGCGATGGGATACGCCTCTCCTCTTGCTTTCTTCTTCTCCTCTGCCGTTCTCTTCCTCGCTTCCTTCCCCGGCCTCGTCCCTATCGGCATCGCCCAGCCCGACTTCTACGACCCCAAACGTGTCACCCAGATCTCTTGGCGTCCCAGGTGCCCATTTAAGATCGATTATACGTGTAGATGCATGTAGTAATTTGTTGTTGGAGCTCAAATAGAGTTGGCTCTCGAACAGGATCTTCCTGTACAAGGGGTTTCTTTCTGACGAGGAATGTGATCACATCATCAAATTGGTAGGGAGATCCTCCTGTCTTTGCCTCTTCATGGCTCTAAGTTTGCGTTCATGTCTACTCATTTTCATGTCAAATTCGAGCAGGCGAGGAGCAAGATGGCGAGATCGATGGTGGCGGACAACGGCTCCGGCAACAGCGTCAAGAGCAACGTGCGGACGAGCTCCGGCATGTTCCTCCAGAAGCACCAGGTACTTTTGTTCCCTCTCTTGGTCATCTTCCTTCTCGCTCATGGAATATTTCAATCGATTAAAAGCTTAGAATTACCATGGCTCATAAAAATCAGATTTTTACTACATTTTATTAGATTATTTAGTGTGGATGATCCAAGCTTAAGTAAAACAGAAGCTATCCTCCTTCAATTTGACTCCTTTAAGATATGGCCGTCTCTTTCTTTTGATTGGATCACTAGACTTGAAGAAATGCTGATACCTACTGTTGCTCGAGTGACACAAAGTTTGCTGCTTGCATTCGAATAAGATAGGGAGTCTAACATAATCTTTCTCTTGGGACCAAGGATGAGGTAATCGCAAGAATCGAGAGCAGAATTGCGGCATGGACCTTTCTTCCAGAGGGTAATTCCATATGGAATTTGTATATTGCTCGATGTAAATTTTCTTTTTATCCTTTCTATATGTAATCAGCAACTCTGTCGGTAAAGCAGAGAACGGTGAATCCATTCAAGTACTGCGCTACCAGGATGGTCAAAAGTATGAACCTCATTATGACTATTTTCGTGATCCAAAGAATCAAGCACGAGGAGGACATCGATATGCTACAGTGCTAATGTATCTTTCTACTGTGAAAAAGGGTGGGGAGACTGTTTTTCCAAATGCAGAGGTGAAGAAACTTAAGCTTGCAATTTTTGTTTTATTTTATTTTCTACATCGTAGTTATATGCGACTGTTTCAGGGTGCTTCATCTCAGCATAAAGATGAAACCTGGTCCGAGTGTGCAAGAAATGGCCTTGCAGGTACTTTAATAAGAATGCTGATTGAAATGTTTATGATCAGCTCGATGTTCTGATGATACGTTTATAATGTGTCTTTACCTTGTGGTTTGTATGCTTGCAGTGAAACCTCACAAGGGTGATGCTGTACTCTTCTTCAGTCTTCACATCGATGGCACAACAGATCCAGCCAGTTTACATGGAAGCTGCCCTGTCATAGAAGGCGAGAAGTGGTCAGCACCAAAATGGATCCATGTCAGGTCCTTTGAGGATCCACAGAGGACAAGCACAAGAGGGGATTGCTCGGATGCAAGCGAGTTTTGTCCTCGATGGGCTGCTGCAGGAGAGTGCGAAAAGAATCCCCTCTACATGATCGGAAACAATGAGACTGCTGGGAATTGTCGCAAGAGTTGTATGGTATGTGACATGTAGGCCATTCGTCCATTATAGTGGCTTATTCTCGATCTATCCTTAGTCAGTGAGGTGCACATAGAATTTGAGCGTTGTGATAGCAGATTAGTAAGTCTTTTTGTTTGCAAGAGAGATGAGAGGAGAATGATATTTCAAACAAATTATTATGAGATTGTGTCCCTAACTTTTGAAAGTGCTTTTACGAAGATATGATTGCATCAGATAGATTCCTTGTCAATCTTATACGAGCTTAATTGTTTTATGTTTCTGTAGCCATTCATATTTTTCTAACTGACTAATGCTTCATAAGAAGAATTAAATGCCATAATATTCTACTGCTGCTGAGTTAGCAGGCGCAGTTCTTGTTAAATCCTCTGTTTTGAATTGAGGAGAGCATGATTAGAATCATTTTACTACAAAGAAAGAAAGAAAGAAAGAGTAATGTTATTTAGATGGATTGAACCACCACTTACGAAGCTTAGGTAAGTGACATAAGGAAGGATATCTTCATGCCAAAGGTTCATACGGTTGTAGAGATGCCAAATGACAGTTACATCGCTAGCTAGGCTGCCTTGAATTGCCTAACTGTATCTTCCAATGGTCTCCAGCTTGATCTATGGCATTGGCTGGGAGATATCACAGAGCTGCAAAATTGCGAAAGAAAGAATTAATTGAAGACATCAGGCTTAAAGATAGTCTATTGCTTACACTAATATTCCAGCAAAATAGATTATTCTATTATACATGAAAGAACATTCCAAATGTAGGCATAACTTGACACATGATACTGATATGGGTGCATTAAATCTACATCAAAGAATGCATGTCCTGGTGCTTTGTGTCTGCACACCTTTGGATGTTTCCTTTGGTTCCCCCCATCCAGAAGACATTGAAAAAAATAATAGGAAGAGCAACAAAACAAATCATGGCATTAGGTAAAAGTTACAGAAATTTATTGTCAAATGACGTACGAGCAACTAGCAAAAAATGCTTACTAGTGGGATCAACCATCCCTCTATGACTCAATATCTGTATTCAGCATGGGTCATCCTGAACATGTCCGATGTTAACTCTCAGGATCACTAATCCGACAAATTTCTCCATGCTTAGTCTATGGACCAAAGTCGTACATTTCAAGTGAGTTTGCTACTCTTACTTTAGGATCAAAACTGCACCAGTGAAAAGAACAGAAATGATGTATTACTTCAATGTAAGAGGAACAGTTACAGGAGCACATTCATATGATCAGTGAGGCAGCTTAATGACATGCCACTACTAGTAAATCCTCTGATCAACAATAAGCTGGATGTTTAGTTGAGGAGACAGACAAAAGTGTAGACGAAATCAGAGACTGAAATGAATGCCTAATGCATGTCATCAAAAGAAAACCAGGACAAACCAGGAATAAAAATTCTGGGAATCAGAGACTGAAATGAATCAAGGAGGTTCATTCCTCTGCACATGGAATGGAGTTCATCAAACAAAAAAGAAGCACAAAGTTTGGAAATATCAGTTTCCTTCACTTTAGACTTCCTTTTAAAAAATTTTGAAGAAGAAAAGTGTCGGAGTACCTGATATAGTCAAAGCAAAAAGTTCTTGTCAACATAGGCAAGTTGGGTCCAGTTTTAGAAAACGTGGCAAGCAAATTCAGTAACTCAGTTGAGTTACCCATGTACTAGCTGGACATTGAGAGTCAAATTCATCAAACTCAAGGTTGCACAAAAATCCAAAGTTGGACCAATTTTTCTGTATTTTTTAACAATATGTTGAATTGCATGAGTCATTTTAACTCAGCCAAATATATATAGAAGTTTCTAAAACTACAAGAAAACCCTCAAAATTAAGATCATCCTAATTATAAGTGATCCTTGGCTGATAAAGAAGAAAGGAAAAAAAAAAACCTTTAAAAGATACAATAGAAAAAAATGTGTCATTTTAACTAGTGAGCAGCTAAAACAATGGTTTTGGTTGATGCAAGCTAAAACTATGTAGTGTCAGCTGAGACACCTACACAATTAAAAAGGGCACAGAAAAATACAACTTGTTTGCCTCAGTTGGAGTTAAAAATGGGCCTGAACTGGCTTGGGCCAGCTCAACTAAGCACAGGTCAGGATGGAGCCATGTGGGCTTCTGGGCTTTAATTGAGCCAGCTCAACTAAGCACAAATGAGCCTTTTTGACCCAGACCAGATTCAGTTCAGTTCAGTTCAATCTAACCATTCATACAAACTAAGACATATAATATAAGATCAACTGCGGCTCATCTGCTGATTTCTCTTAAATCTCATCAAGTGATGAGCCCCTTGCAACATGCTTCACATGACATTCAATGCATACTTCAATTTCTATCATATCACTGATTTTCATCATTGCATACTCTTCAATGACTCTTCCAAAACCTTCTCTTGAAGGTCTTCCTATTCAACACTACTATCGTAACCGTCTCATAAACATTACTGCCGTATGGATAATGGTGGCACTATTCTCATGAGATAATCATGGTGTCGCTCTCACAGGAAGGAATGTACCAGAAGAATGTCATAAGTAGTGGAGGGACAAAATGACGCATAACGGAAATAAAAATAGGAAATTACTACTAGAAAAGATTCTAATAAACTGACCTGATAAGAGAGGACAAAATAAATCAACTCTTTATGGTGGAGAAAACCTTTACAATACCTGAAGATATTGTCTTTTGATAATTTCATAGACTTGGAGGAGGTCTTTATTTATACTAGTTCTAGGCTGTCAAACCTACCTAACTAACAATGTGGGACTATTGAAAGAAACATAAAACATAAAAATCAACAATATGAGATAAATAAAAGTGATAACTAGGATAATGACTTAACCAAAGACCGAAGGCACCAAGCAAAGGCAGCTAACCCCTTAATGCACCAGGTTGGACACCTGTAAAGTTGGTTTGCAAATCAGAAGGTCAAGCAGGTTGGCTGGCTCTGGAAATTGATGGATCAAGCCCCTTTAGTTCCAGGAATGAATGATGGAAGCACATGGTGACAACTCTGTTCGATGATCATCAAAACAAGAGGCTGATATTAAATGAATTTGCAGCTAGTTAGCTAGACTAAAAATGTATCCTACAGCTTGGAAGAGAGGAGGCTAGAAACTTGCCTATTTTGAAGCAGTGACCCCTAAACTTGTGGAACATTGATCCTCAATGTCCTGGGACATGAAATTAAGACAGTCTCCTACTTGGGAAGGGCGCTGCCACTTGAAATAAGCATCATCCAGGCTTATCCGATAAGGGGCATCTCTGTTTAGCCCAGTAAAAGGTTGCTCAAATAGAGCAAAAAGAAACAGATGACATTGGATGGCTTTGTCCTATGTCTTTCTTTCTTTATTTATTTATTTATTTTTTTTTCTGTCAGTGGTAGATCAATCTTTTAAGGGTGACCTAGAGAAAGAACCACCTTGGATCTCAGTTCTATTACTTGTATTTTCTCTCGTTTAGTGCCTTAGAAGATTATATCTGCGCTGGAGCAGAGACATCACAAACCAAGATTAGCGAAGATTAATTCTCGATCAACTTACAAACTTCAAATTACGTAGTTCAAAATTTTCATATAAGATTTTTCTAATTTTCTGCATATGCGAACAGAAAGAGTGCAAATTCATGCTCCACATAAAATTTCGTCCCCGAAGTATTTCATATAAAGAGCACAAAGCAAAAAAATAACTAGTCAACAATGCAAAAGCATGGCGAAGTACAACTAAGTCAAACGAGGGCACGATTAAAGTCCGCATTATGATTAGCACAAGAAATGATTCCCAAATCTCACCACAATTAGACCAAAAAATAGAGATAAAAAGGAACGAAAAGCTCAAACCTATATCGACCAATCGAAAACCTCCTCGGCGCTTTCCAGGAACCCCTGATTCGCCTTGCACGAATGCACCGTCTGGAACTGATCGACGTGGAGCTTGCGGGTAATCCACCCCACCTGGAAGTAGATGTACTCGGATGGAGGCAGGTCGACCTTGATGGCATCCACATCGAACCAGATGAGGAAGCGGCGCACCTTGACGCCCTTGAGGTCCTCGATGCCGCCGTACTTGACGACGCCGGAGATCTTGGGCTCGTAGTAGACGAGGTATTCGAAGTCGATGTAGCAGGGGCCGGAGAGCTCCACGGCGAAGCTCCCGTTCTCCGCGAGGGAGAAGGACTTGACAGTGTCGGGGAGGAGGCCCGACGGGAGGCCGTACTCGGGGAGGAGGTCGTAGATGGTAGTGCCGGTGGGCGGGGAGCCGGGGGATTGGGCGGTGAGGGATGCGAGGAGAAGAGAAAACAAGAGGAGAAGAAGTTGAACAGAAGAAGGGGAGGAGGAGGAGGAAGACAAGACGGTCATGGTGTTGGATTAGATGGGGAAAGGGGAAGGTGGGGGAAGTTGGAAGAGGGAAGGAAGGGTGGTTTGGTCGATAACTTGGGGAGGTTTTCCACTTCAATTGGTATTAAGGGCCTTTCTGGGGATCGTCTGGTGTTGACGCAGAGGAGAAAGGGACAGCCTGCGGATTTGGCCGAGACCGACAACCTGTTTCACACCTTTGCCGTGTTTGTTTGGAAACCTCTTTTATAGTCGTTCTTTGTTGTTGTGCGTAACAAATAAGGCGATTTATTGGGAAAAAAATAGCGATTTAGTATTTGGGCGAATTCTTAAAAAAGAAAACACAGATTTAATTTTTTTTTAGAGTATTATAATTTTTAAAAAAATTATTATTTTAAAATAATCATCCTACCTTCATCGATCATCATCTTTCACCCGTCGATCATCCACATCGTCCTCCTCGGATCAAATTAATTTTTTTTAATAAAAATATAAAAATATAGAATAAGTAATGCTACAAAATTGATATCTTAAAAGAAAATGCTTATACCTTGTATTTGATAGCATGCTCATTTGCTTATATTTATGATTATTGACCATGATATATTTATTAATAAATTTTAAAAAAATTAATTGTTATTTATTATCTTTGTAAAATCATATATAGTATTATATCCTAACATTAATCTTAATGGGTCTTCTTTGGAAAGATTGAATGAGAGATTTTTTAATGCTATTTTATATGGTAATAACAAGCTGATGAGTTTAGATCATATTAATATCAATTTAAATATGTTTATTTTTGGATTAATGTTCTAATTAACCTAAGTAAAATCTCCAGTTCCATCTAATTAAAAATATCACTTCAGACTGCATCAAATATTCCTACTCTTGTTTGTAACTCGAATTAGATATGATATGATACAAGCATTAATCATCTGACGATTGTATGGAACATATATAATAAAATAAAGAGATGAATGCATGGATAGGCTTACCAATCCTGAGCCCTTAGATTGGTAGAACAATAAAACAAAACCAATTGGATTTTGATAGACTCTAGAAATAAATTATACATACTTTCAATATATTAGACACCTTAAATATTGTATAATATATATATATATATATATATATATATATATATATTTCAAAAAAATCAATTCGACTTCCATTCTTTTTTTTTCTTTCGTTCTGAACCTTTTTTTTTTTTTGTCTCTTGAGCTCAGTCAAAAAAAAAAAAATGATATTGATCTGATTGAAAAAAAAAGAGAAAAATTGGATCGATCAAATTGATATATTTTTTAAAATAGAATATGATAAAAAAAAAAACAATTACCTGATAAATTATAACAAAAAAGTATCCTTTTATTCAATATCAAAGCCACCCAAAATGGAGCATGAATGTTCATCGACTACAACCGCAAGAGAACAATTGAGATCATGTTCAGAAACATCATCTCAAAGGCACTGCCCCCCTGCGATAACTACTGCGGAAGGAGGCCACCAGCGAGAGCAGCAAGGTGAAGCAGCGTCAGAGCAAAAGCAAGGCCCCCGGGCGCAGCTGTAGCAACGCCACTGGGCCCAGGGGAGGCCACGGGACTGGAGACGTCCCCCTTGCCGCCAGTGGCGGGACGAGGGGATCCGGCGGGAGAGCCGGAAGGGGCAGCAGAAGACGTGGGCTTGGGGATCCTGATGTCCACCTTCTGGCCGGCTTCGCAGTGGCCGGGCTTGCCGCATATGAAGAAGTGGTGGCCGTGGCGCTTCAGCTTGATGGAGTCGTTGCCGGAGGTGTAGGTGGCGATGGGCGACGCCGCCTTGCACGCCTTGTAGTCCTCCCTCCTCACCTCCAGCACATTGTGGTAGGTGTTGTTGTACTCGAACACTGCCAATGCAAAAGCCAACGCACGCATTAAGATTAGGATATGCATCAACAACATCCACGGATGAAACGTGATCGCTGCCACCAGAAAGCTTCGAGTTCGCCGTCCGGACAAGTGGCAGCCATGCATTCAAGCTAACATCAGAAACGCCATGACCTTAATCTTGGTCAACCGTCCGAGTCATAAATCTTTGACCGCAATCAATTCCGACATTGATCGGTTTTTCGTAACATTAAATGAGTCGAAAACAGCGACACATCCTCTTCTGAAACCATTCAAGAGAAGTGTTGGCTTTGGAGAAGAAAAGAAAAAGAAAAAGAAACGAAAACCATCATCTAATCCCTGCAGCAATTTTAATCTCTTGGAGAAGACAAAGCACGTCAAAGAATGGAGAGGTCACGGAAGAAACTCGCCTACGGTGTCTCCCTTGTGGAACGTCTTGGAGATGGCCCAGGCGGTGTAGTTGGGACTCCCCATGGTGGTCCACCCCACCGCATCTCCGACCTTGTAAACGACGGCCTGTGACAGCCCCACCCCAGCGGCGGCGACCACGAGCAGCACCAAGATGTCGGACATCGCCATGGCCGAAGCAGCAGCAGCAGCAGCAGAAGAGAAGATGAGTCGGTAGGGAAGGGAGACCGGGCTCGAATTATCTTTCCTCTCTCCTCTCGCCCGCGGTGGCGCAGCACTTATAGAAAGCGTTCAGTAATACCCGACGTCCCACATGCCCGTAATGCCCCCCTCGCTCCTTAGAGACAGCAAGGCAAGAAGAACCGTTGGATTTGGACGGACGATGATTGCACCATCCGTGCCGTGACCTTTACGTGACTTGATTGCCGAGTGATGATTCGATTCGACTCGAATCGGGTTCGGGCGTCGAGCATCGATGAACCAGAATTGGCGTAAGGCGTAAGGATTGAAGTGGACCCGAGACAGAGAGGGGCAACGACACGCCCGTTTTGTGTTGCTCATCGTGCAAGATTTGCTGCTTGTTGACAACGAATGACCTCATCACCGACGTACTTGGGGCAGACGCATCGTCTCGCTATAGCACATGAAAAAGAAGTCAAGTCATTCCTTGAAGGCAATTAATTCTTAGGCTACCATTTGTGTGATGAGTTACACCGGAGACTAATCCCACCGTGCCATGTGGCTTCGTTGGTGGAACGCACCGACGAATGGCATTCGGAACTCCCAATCTAAATCGGATACTTGCCGTCCTCTCCGAACCCAAAGGGACTATTGAAAGGTGACATCTAATCTCGTCCCACATAGCTATCGACATTAAATGTTGGTGGCGTTTCATACTTTATTGACGCAAGTCCAATTTACGGTTACAAATATCTGTACCAACTTCAACATGGATCATAATGTAATCGAGTAGCATTAAATACAAGTCTATTAGGCATATGTTCATTAGAGTATGCTTCATCCTCATGAATTGTCATGTTATTGTAACCAATCACAAGTGTACATGACAAATATGCATCACTGTTGAATTTATGCACTTTGAACCAAAATTGCAAATTCCTATTGGTGAAAACAACCTCACTCGACGACACACTGATTCATTACCCAACTCAAATAAATACACAAAATAATGGTAATAAAAGTTATTTCTAGAAGACAAACCAATCACAAAAGCAGAGGGGTTTCAGAATGACACCAACAGATGGAAAAAAAAAAGGAAAATGTAAAACTATGAGGACAACATGGATTGCAGTGCAAGCTGCTGCTGAGGCTGCAAAGTAGACCAAGTTGAGGCAAGAACGGATGGTGGAATCGTCTGTTGCAATTGCCTCAAAAGATTGATCATTCTGATAACAGTGTGTTCTGTAGCAAGATCATTGCCTGCACATAAAACCTGGAACGAAGAAAAAAAAAAACAGCTCCATGGTCAACTTGGTCAACTAGGCTTTGCCAAACTAGAGATTCATTCTGAAAACATTCAAATAAGATAAGACACATATTACAGAGATGAGTTAAACAATTACCTCAGCCAACACTGTAATTATTTTTGGAAGATGCTGATTATTCGGGCCTAAAAGTTCCCTATCTGACCTGTGAGCACATGGTTCAAAATTTTTAATTTATCCAAACAAAAAAAATATATATAAAGGCACAAAAATCAAGATTTGAATTACTTTTCAAGCATGGAGCAAAGCTGATCATGTACAATTTTGGCTTCAATTAAATCACCTCTCACGGGCAAGCAGCTTAACCAAGCAGGTAAAACCTGTCAAATATCTGCTGGGTTCAATACTTTGAAAAATAAATCAACAATATAAGCACAGCAAACAAACTGCTTTCGAAGCATAGAGCAAGTGATGCTCCAGAGGTTGAAAGGACTTATCAAACCTCTATCATCAGTAACATATGCTGTAATGGAAGACCTATAATAATGGAAAGGAAATAACAATAGTAATATCTATAATAATGGACATTCATCCTTCAGGAAATGGGCTCTTGAATCAAGACAAAGAATCCCCTCTGTGAGAAGCAATTACCCACTACTTTACATCAGCTATGTGAATCATGCTGAGGGTAATTTAAGTAGATAATCCAAATGATGATACTATTGTTTACAACCAGATCTTCTTTAGACTTTCCCTGCCTTTCCTGGCATCTCTAAGTGAGCACTCACCTACGTAACAAATTCCTATCATGTTTGAACACAGGCTTTCCAATGAATTGAAAGCAACAAAAAATCAGCCGTCAGGTTCTGATCGAAAATATAAACCATAATTGACAAGACAACCACCAGCAAGAGGTACATCTAACACCATTGTCAAATTAACGTCTATATGTGTAACAATTATTTCACTTACATTAGCACGTGAGAGACAGAGAGGGAGAGAGTATAATAAAAGAGAAAGAAATGTCAACTACCTGAGCTGCATCGATACTGTCTCGATGGAATTGACATATTTTGCCTAAAGCTGAAACAGCATTGTCATATGCCATTATGTTATCTGACTGCAGAGCATCAGGATGTCTAACCACATTATTTAACTTTGAGAGAGCCTCTGAAAAACAGAAGTGAGATGTCATACAAAATAATAATTGACATGAGGAAAAAGAACGGCAGAAATGTCATTCATACAATTAAATATGATATACCTCCAACAAGTGGGCCAAATACAGAACCACCAAATTCAGAACAAACACCAACTCCATAAACAGCAGCCTGAAATTAAATTAGTCATAGTATTCAAAACTGACAAATTCGTGAATATGCAATAATGCAATTACGCATGTTCATATTGAAATTCTGCATCTGTTTTAGGTAAGGTCGAGGATGGACAGAGAATGGATGTGAACCTGTCTAACATCTGCATCTTCATCATTGCAGGCTTCTAGTAGGAAAGGAAGATAGGTTTCATAGTATCTGTCATTAAAAAAAATTAAATATGTTAAAGAGGAAATCGGACTAAAAGATACCCAAATATTAGTAAAAATACACAGAAAAAGATATACTTGAGAGCTGTTCCTTGGCAATGCTCTGCAACATCATCAAAAACGCAAATGGCAATCCTTCTCTCCCCAGCCGTTTTATCCTTTCCCTGGACATTAAAAACCACTTACATAAATTATGTTTGAAGAAGTTGGGAGCAGGACTTTGCTTTTTCTAATGATCAAAGGAGCTTCTACACTTTAGCATACAAGAAAAGAAAAGAGATATATTGAATAACCAATATAAGAAAGCATATTCAATGTCAAGAATATGATCCAATAACATCTGAAGAGATCTGCAAATAAGTATCTAGACTTATGAGTTATGACCAAATGGATACGTTACCGAATTTTGATGAAAAACAAAAAACAAAAAACTGGGGTTGAGATTAGTACATAAGTAACTATATATGCTAATTCAGAATTTCTGAAAATTGGTTTACTTGGTCTAATTGAATGATGGCTGCTAGAATAACTGGTGAGGTAGCTGAGTTGGGATTTCAAGGTCTCTATTCTCAAATTAGTTAAGAAAATTATTGGATGCAGATAAGTAAAAATATATAGCACAAATGGCCCCAATATTTGTTTAGTGAAAGAAGCTTAAGCAAAACTAGGCCATGACAGAAAAAAGTATATAAAATGGAAATTTTCGCAAGATTGACTGTGCCATTGACAAATCTTAATATGACATAAAGAGGACTTACCAACATTGGTGTTATATATATTGATAGTTCATCAAAAAATGGAAGGAATGAAGCCTTGTAGTATTTTATCAAGGTGCTCAGGCAATCACCAACCTGGATTCAAATAATGACAGCAAATAAAGTTCAAGTTTGGCATCAAAATAACATTTTTAAATAAGAAAATTTGTGAATAATCCTGCAACTGAATATCTTTCACTGAGTTCAAACCCTATCAAAAACTTCTTCTTCTTCTTCAGTATCTTCTTTAAGCATTTCTCCGTCCTCATCATCAAAATCCTCCTCCTTTGCTCGCTCTGCCATTTCCTTTTTCCTGGCTACACTAGCTGTCATTACATGCTTGATTTGATCAACCATCATTTTGACGTGGCCTTCAATAAGATGTGCTCCAGCAAGCTGTATGACATAAACGTGATAAACCCAAAAGCTATTGTTGGTGGTTCTTTTCAGAAAAAAATGCAGGATAGGTTTTAATAACAGGAGGGACTTTATAATGATAATAAATTTATTCCCATTCTTTTATGTGAACTTCCATAGGCAAGACAAAAATAGGATCCAATGGATGAACAAATTCTTTCGTTCATAAGACAAAATCCAAAAGGCAATGGACAAAATTTTGTTTATTAAAACAAGAACAATGGCTACAGAAGAAGGGGAATTGACTTTTTTTTTTGCTGTGATAAATAATTCATCTGTAGAAAAAAAAAAAGCAAAACCATAAATTGGAACACAAAAGCAATAATTACTTGACCTACATTATGCTTTGAAAATAATTATGTATTTTGGTAGGATCAATGGTAAGATTGCTCCTCCACGACGTGACAAACCAAAATTCGAGTCATGGAAAAAACCTATTTATATTTAGAGGCAATGCTGCGTATGTTGACCGTCCATGGACCTGCCTATGCGGGGACCTTATGCACTAGGTACACCCTTTTATTCTGACAGGACCAAAAGCAATCTTTCCTTCATTCTTCTTTGCTGAGTCTTCTACACAAATGAAATAAGGTTTCGATGTTTGGTGTTACAAGATGAGCTGCAGATCTAAAACGTTTCAGCATATATCTTAGTGTCACTAAATCAAAGAGACAACTTTGTGCTTCATGTGCAAGACATCGGTTGACATGCAATGATATTGACTTGTATCATGATAAACCTATACAAAGTATTAAAAATGTGGGCAAACTAAATACATAACTCTAGGAAAAAAGACATACCTGCATGCACTCATTCAAGGAATCCAACATGCTTGCACATATTTCGGTTTCAGGTTCCTACAGACAGATGATTTCAAGTGAAAAGATCAATAGTATACCTCATGAGACATAATAACATACAATACTACTATACTAGACCACACATTTAAGCTGACCTTCTGCAATGCTTCCAACAAAGCTGGAATTATATAATCTGATAATTTCTTCACATATGATTTATCCCGACCTTGAGCTACCCCCTTTTCAATAGCCTAGCTTTGCTGAACGAAGTAAATCTGGCATGGCTAGTGAAAGAAGGAAAACATAGGAATCTTAGGATATTTTTTATTTTACTAAAGAATAAAGTAATAAATATAATATTACCTGACACAGCAGCCCTCCGAACTTCTTCATGAAAATAAAATTTCAAAAGGGGTACCAAAATAGGAGCAACCTGCACTCATGTTGTATTATAACTGATTAGTCATTTGATGTATTTTTTTCTAGATTATGATAGTAATCATAACCAACCTGATCAATCCAAGGATAGAATCCCTCCTTGAGCTCATCAGCATAGCAACAAAGCATGTTACAAGCAGTGGCTTTCTCCTCCAACACGCTAGTCCGGATACCTATCCGTTTATCTCCAATAGTGATGGTTTCAATGCTGCACCAGAACAATACAACTAAGCATTACCAATTGCATGGAACTACGTGTTCCTCAATCCTCATCATGTATTCCAAAAAATGTACAAGTCCTATGGTATAGCACACCAGGATTACCAGTAAAAAGTGCCTGGTGAACTATATGTAATGGTCATTAATACAAACCTTTCATCATCTGAATCTTCTATATCATCATCTGAATCTACAGAGGTAATTGTTACATCTGGTTTCAACTGAGCAGACTGAAGCAGCGGGGGCATAACAACACTCATGTATGGGAGAAAATCTTGTCCTAAGCACTTGCAAAATCTGGCCCATGCCTACATGCAAAACATAGGAATTAAATGTGTTGTTGACTTATGCTGCTATATCATGCATTAAGCTACAAGAGATCAAATGTACCTGTAGCATGTAGATTGTTGTTGGGTCATCGGTCTCCATCTGTGATCCTTGCAGGGTCATCAGCACTTCCATTACCTACAAAAGCTAGATTCATAAGCTTTCCATGTGTCTTCATGTTTAAGACAAGCAAAACACATACACACAGTCGCTATCCCAATAGATCTATTTGGTTGCCACGAGAAAAGAAAGAATATGATTGTTTTATGAGGCACATCAAATTTGTTATCACCTATGACTACTGATATTACATGTCAATTAGATAACGTTTTAAGTAAATTTTCTCATCAATTTCCAGTTCATTTATTTTTTTCTGTTGCTGACAGAGAGAAAACAAAATTACCAAATCCTCTCTTTTGTCTCACATTCTGGAAAACAATACTTGGAATTCATAAACAACTAATTTTGAACAAACAAAAATTATGCATAAAAGAAGCAGAAGAAACAAAAATAGTTTTAACTAGCCATATGTTTTGCTTCTGTTTCAGGAACAAATGAGAATAAAAGAAAAAAAATCAACTGAAGACAAAACTTGCGTAAGTATACAAGAACAGAGATGGTAAAGAACTAGTCGTTTACTGCAAATTCCAAAATCTATGATGCAGAATTTAACACAAGGTAGAACAAAAGATTCTAGATGCTTTCAGTGATTGTCTTTCGACAAAAAGGTATAGAAACTCAAATAGCCATTATTAGACTTTATTTATTAAATGTTAACTTTCTAGACAAAAAGGAATAGATTATGAAGATTTATCTGCTTCTAACATGCTGCAACCTCCCAAAGAAGATGAAGAAAGCTTCTTAAAAAAAACTCCAATTCAACTAGAGACAACCAAAATGAATAAAAGTTTACAAACCTAAAAGAAAATTAACAAATAACCAAAAAGCCTCATTCTGAAACTATCAACCAGTCCAATACTAAGTGGATAATTTTAAGAGTGAACAACGAATAAATATACACAACTTTAGAGTGAAGGAAAATAATATTATTGCCTGTTTAGCATCATTCTTGAACTTCTCCTTGCCGACAGCCATTCCAACCAAACTTATGCACTCCATGGATTTGGCACGAAGCATGCGATTGGACTTGTCAGTAGCATTAACCAAAATAACTTTGAGGTAAGTCATAACTGCATCATAGTACTTTTGGAAGTTTTCCTGCAATTGATATGTGCATACAAATTTAAATATATACCAGTCATAGTAACATGAAGAATTAACAATCTAAGAAAAAATGATTAAACAAGAACCTGTGATAAATCTGCTACTGAGGCTAGAGCAGTCAAAGCTCCTTCTTGCACCATCTGCTTTCCATTCTGAATAGAGACATTTTCATGTACAACTCATCTCCAACAATAATGACCAAGTGGAGAAAACACAAGAGCAGCGTCAAAAACAAGATAGTATACTTGGTATATACCTGGAGCAACACAAGTAATTTGCCAACGATCCCATCTAAGTAAGGTGGCAAAATATCTGGAGTGCAGTTTTCACAAAAGTTCAAAACTGCTGAACCAGCATGGGCCTGTACAAGTATAGAAAATTTAGCACCTGGAGAAAGAAATGACCCAACTAACTATATAGCTAATGATTTAGCAAGATTACATATCTTATCTAATATGTTAAGTATCCTAAGGAATTTGATGCTTCCACGATTCAAAATAGGAGACCAACTAATTCTACCTTCAAATCTCAAGGGCCAGGCCACATGGTGTAATTTTTATCTTCATCCATAAACAACCCAAAATTTTCCATATTGCAAGTAATAAAGTGATTGGTGGCATTGACATGTCATAGAAATTGTCCATATAAATGCAAACACCAGTTGATATGGCACTACATACAGCATTAGTTGGTAATTAGCATGACAACAATTGCATTTAATAAGCATGATCCAATCACAGATGCCCAAGCTCTGTTCCACATAGTTTGCATCCGAGGAACCATGCACTCACATTTCAAGTTACAGTCTAACATGTCACTCTCATCAACAAAGTAGCTTTTCATAATATTAAAATGTGACTCCATATACATTGTAAAGTGGCATGGTAAATTAAAGTAGAACTAAAAATTTGGCTACTGTATTGCCGCCAAGATCCCTCTTTTACATGTATCTTATTATTCTGATTATTGATGCAACTAAACTAAATGTGTAGTATTAAATTTTAGAAGATTGTTGTATGCTTACGACCCAAATCATGAGACACCAGATTAGTAATCCTCAGGTAAAAAGTTAAAAACATTTAAACCATAGAAATTTTAATCATGATTTAATTTCATTTAACAAAGAAATGTGTTCCAACTCGACAGTTGTTGCACATGTTGTAAAGAAACCACGACATGTTAACTAGCTAGTCGACTTGCCAGTACACGGGGATTTTGGAAATCATCCATAGCTGATGCCAATGCAGGAAGCACCCTTTGATGATACTGGACCTGCAAATCTGGACCCAAATCTGTTGACAGCTGCCCTACAGCATTAATTGCAGCCCAACGAACACGAGCATGTGGGTGTTGGAATGAATTCAGAGCCATATTCACCACTTGCTCCAGGTTCTTAGTCATCACCTACTTGTAGTAAGAACACCGAATGGAGTCAAACCAAGCAAAAGTTGTTTGTTTCTTGAGAAAAATGTTAGTCAGTTCAACCAGGTGACACTCTTTTATGAGAATATGTATATATCCTAACTTTAGAAAAGAATGATCCAGATCAACAAACCGTACCTTTGAGCAACCTTCTGCAATCTGGGCAAGAGTGATGAGAGCAGCATGGTGCCTCTGCCACTCTGGTGCTGCTAGGTAAGCCGGAAGCAACTCGGATGCAATGGGAACAGTGGTGTTTCCCCCCATGGCAACCGAAATCCGGTCGAGGCACTCCTGGGCCATGCCATAATTGCTAGTCTCCCCTGCATTTTCATCAATAATCTCAGCAGTGTGCCATGCAGGATCATCCTCGATATCAAGCAACATCCTCATAAGGACCGCAAAGAGCCTTCCCACGAACTGAGGAAGTTTCCGCATCATCCCAGGAGCGCGTTCCCTCGCCTCAGCAAGCGTGACAAGAAACTCAATTGCGAGGTGGCGCGTGCCCTCCTCAAGTCCATCAGCCTCCGCAATCTGCAGCATGGCACCAACCACATCAGCAAGCTGGTGGCGGATAAAGCGTGGCTCAACACCGGCGAGCTCGATGAGCAGCTCGAGCGCCTCCTGGGCTGTGGCCTCCTGGCTAGAATTGAGCGACTCAGTCAGCGTCCGCATCATAGCAGAAAGGAGGTCGGCCAGTCGATCACGGTCGGAAGCCGATTCGAGCGCCATTATAAGGTTGACCGACGTCGACAGCGCGGCGATGCGTACGTCGCTTGAGGACGGATGGGAGAGGGAAGCGAGAAGGATGGAGTGGAGGGCGGACAAATGATGCCCGACAAAGGACGTATCGTCGGCCAGGTAGAAGGCAAGCTGGGAGAAGATGAGGAGAGCGGACTCATGGAAGCGGGGGGAATCGGGCGCCGAGACGGCATGGAAAAGGAAAGGAAGGAGTTCGGGCCAGGCAGAGTCGGGTAGGAGGGAGGAAGCAAGAACGGAGATGGCGTCGGACAGCTTCCTGGAGACGGAGCGGTCCGTCTCGAGGTGAAGAGCAGAGAGGAGGAGAGACTTGAGCGAGGCCTGGGAGGAGGGGGAGAGGCGGGGCCAGAGGTAGGAAAGGTCGGCGTCGGAGGCGAATGAACCAACGCGGTAGGTGAGGAGCTTGCGTAGGAGGAGAGCTGACATGGCGCGGAGGTCGAAGGCGGGGGAGGAGTGGAGGAGGGAGGCCAGCTTGTGAGCAAGGGCGTCCGGATGAAGGTCACGACAGAGGTTGAAGAGCGACTCGGCGTGGGAGCGCTGCTCGTTCGACGACGACATCAGCTGCGACACGAGCGATTCGAAGGGCGCCGCGTCCGGCCCGAGGATCGCCGCCACCTGCTGCTGCTGCTGTTGTTGCGGATCCATTTCTTCTTCTCCTCCTCCCGCTCCTCGATGGGGAAGACGGGAACGAGCAGATGGGAGGCTGTATCCGACACTCCCCGTCGCTGGCGGGGGGATTGCGGTTGTTGGATGGATCGGGGGATCGGGAGGGGTTTTATTGTTCGGGTTTGGAAGGTGTGCAAATATGCAAAGGGGGGGATGCGAGGAGGGGGGATGAGTTGAGGAAGGTCCGATGCTGGGGTTGGGGGCGCGCCGGACTGGCGGCAACTGTTGATGGAGGAATGCAGGAGACTTCCGTTGGTTTGGGTTTGGAAGAGAACCCCACCAAGAATACAAATGGTATGTGGGTGACGTGTCCTTAGTTAGTAATGGACCGTTCGGATTTCTTCATCTCCTCGTAACTTTGTGATCTCAATCGCCCGTTCGCATTCGTTCCACTCGTAGCGTATAATATTTATTTTCGTTATTACGGGTGGCTAATATATAAAATAAAATAAAATAAAATAAAAATGGAGAAGAGGATTCTAGAAAGACCTTTGATTACTTTCCTTACGTAGGCGTCCTCAGACAACTTGCTTTCCCGGATTAGACTGTGAAGTGGTACATGAAAAAGGAACGGAGATATTACATCATTCAAATATTAAATTATACTAAAATTATTGATTATTTTATCTTATTTATTTTAATATTAAACTTTTACTGTCCTAGGATTTTTCTGAGAGTATCTCTCTTTTGTCGATTTGATAAAAATATCATTCATCTTTACTAACGATTTTTAATTGACGTCGTTGTCATCACTTTCGTCGTCAACCACCATCGCCTCTGTCACCCTCTTCTCCCATGGCATCGCTATCATCCTTCCTTCTTTCTTCTCTTTCTCGTACTATGTAACTAGTATTCTTATCGCTCATCGCTAGCACCCCTGTTGCCTATCTCTCTCAATAAGGTTGCAACCATTGTGGCTGTAGCTCTCCCTTCCTTACAATCGAAGACGGAGAGCCTGCATCGCCCTCTATCACTCCCTCTTTCTTACGATCAAAGACGGGAGCCTTTTGACCATGCTCATGAGCTTTTATCGAAAACAATAGAGAAGAGGGCGACCCTACTCATGATGAGAGAATGGAGTGACGAAGATGACGACACTTGAAGATTACTAGTGAGGGATAATTTTATCAAATCAATGAAAGATGAATACCTACGGTTAAAATCTAATATCGAAGAATTTTTAGAGTAAAATACCTAAAATCATTATGATAAATAGTTGATGTGGCTTGCATTTATGAGTGAAGCCGTAGCCAAATATTGATTAAATTGAGTTGTGTTTGTAGCCAAATAAGAAGAAAAAAAAAGAAGAATAATTAGACTTATGTTTAATGTGATTAGTTAGACTTGTATTTAGGTCCAAATAAGAAAAAAACCATGATGAATTGGAATCATTACAATGCGGCTAAACCAAGAAACAACAGTATGTCATGCCTTTTATTAGAGGAGGATATTATGTGAGTGAGAACCCAATACTAAATTAACCTCAAGCTCATGCAATGTATTTAAATGTTTTGATGATACATCAACAAATGTAATGATGTGATAGGACACTCGTTAATGTCAATATTGATTGATTGCCCTGATAGAACCAAATCTAGTTTGGAACCATCTTCATCGTTAGATTGGTATCGGAAATAAACATGAGTTTATTCTAAGAGGAGACTATTCTAAGAGGAAATAAACATGTTTATCGGAAATAAACATCATTAGATTGGTATCGGAAATAGTCTCCTCTAAGAGGAGACTATTCTAAAGTTTGAGGGTTAAACCAACTCTTGTATAAGAAATTTTAATACAAAATTATTTTTACGTCTAAATCATCGCTTCGGTGGTACCAAACCCATATTTACAAAGGATTAAGAGTTTAAAATCTTATTCGATAAATTTTTATCATCTAAAATATTAATCTAATGTTCGTTTACCAGCCTCATTTATCAAAATCTAATCCAATGAATTTTTTGACACCTAAAATATATTAAACTCACTTACCAAAAGATTGAGTAAAAAAAATTAATGTTAAAATATAAATCTGGCGTGAAAGGGAATAGAAGAACTCTCTTAAAGTAAGTGGTCATGGAATTGATTGGACGCAATATGTTTCCTTCGACACATAATTAGTGAGCATAAGATAAGCTGTATCTTCCTGATTAAGCATCTGAAGATAATTAATTCATTACAAGAAAACAGCTCATTTTATGTACCCCTCAAACATTGCTGTCACTTGAAACTTTCTTTCAACAACTCCCCCCCCCCCCCCAATGATCCAAGGCATCACTTTTCGAAAAGCATATCCACATTCACAAAGACAAGACACTCACTTCCTTCGGATGAACTTTTTTTTGGGGTTCAGAAAACCTGATGATGTCTTTGGTGGCAACCAAAGAGTAGGTTTAAGATCCTAAATAGGATCCAATTTTAATTGGAACAAAAGATTCTAATATGATATTTCCTAATGAGATGAGCACTGCTACATCGATATCAAGTGCAAACTAAAGCTAGTTTGGATTAGAAATCTTAATCATTCTATTATTATTTTGAGAAATAAAGTCAGAGTGCTCTAAATTTGTTCTAATAATGTTTTAAGGTGATCGATTTCCCTCTCTAAAAACTCTGTGTCACCACTATTGACATCTTGGAGATCAACGAGTGGGGTTGAAGTGAGACTAATTATATATTACCACGTAGCTATTTTAGTTTTATGATTCTTATATTTTTAAAAATTATATTAAGATCATTATATTTTGAATTTTATTTTTTCTCATGCTATTGGTTCTATTGACAAAAATAGGTGTTGTCATGTATAAAAATTCTTATCGATATTAATTTTTCCCTTTATAATTTCTGTAAAAGCAATAGTCGAGAAACCAACAATTCTATAATAATAGACAGATGAGGAGGAGGCAGGATTACAAGAAAAAGAGAAATATCCTTTCTATCGAGTGCTTCACTTTCCAACAAATCCTCCGAAAACAGAGAAAAAAGGTGGAGCAATTGAATAGCGCTATCTTACTTTGTATCCTAACAAAACCTTTCTTTCTCCTTATTTTTTTTCTTTGGACGATGAGAATAGCACAATGAAATTATCTTTTTAACTCTATTTTAGTATCATTTTCCACTCGTGATAATACATACGGTATAACATAAGGAGAAATATGATTAAATATTTTACTTTCATAAGTATAAGGACCTTAATATAATTTAAAAAATAAATAAAAATTAAGATATTAAAGATAACTAATTATATAAGATAATCTGTAATTAGTTCGACTAAACGAAGTGTTGGTATTGATTTGACATCGACTAGATAAACACAAGTTATAGTACTAAAAATGTATAAAAAAATGTGAAGCAAACTTATTTCAACCAAGTGAAATGTCATATCAATTCAAACGAGGATTTCGAATAGGGCAAACTAATATTGAATTATACAAAATAGACCAAGTGAAATGTTATATGAAGTATAAGCATCACGAGCGTGCATGTTGATCATTATACCACCATATATCACCGATGACACCACTTGTTGTATTAGTCCCAGCGGTAGCAGCTGACAGGATTGACTTCAATTACAACATGATGCATGCATGGCATACGTTGGTAGTTGTCGTTTGGTAGTCCACGGTTTGACGAAGAAAGCTGACCAACGACTGGTACCTCGTCGTTATTCGATCACATCTAAATCAATCACGACCTCAAATCCGATGGTTTTGAGCTTTAATATAAGAACATCTCTTGGACTTTCTTCCAATGTATTTTGCTTTTAAAGACTCACACATAGCTGAATCCTCTGATTCAAAAACTAATTTAAGTTTTTAGGGATTTTGTCAGAAATATCTCAACGCATTTGTTTTCATGATTTGACATAATTTCACAACGAACGATCTTGAAATCTAATATCAAAAATCCAATAATCAACTTTGACACTTTTTTATTCATATCTTTTTATTTTTAAAATTTTCTAATACAAAAACATCTTTGTTGATTGGATTTTTAGGTACATTCTCCTTTGACATCTAATTAAATCTATCGATTTAAAAATTAGTTTATGTTTTTGAGAGGTTTTGTTAGGAATATCCGATGCATTTTCAATGTTTGACATAATTTTACAACGAACGATATCGGAACGTTACGTACAATACCACTTCACATCGAGATAGACACGAAGTAGGACCTCAATTAATTTCGAAACAACATCCAAATCAAACAATCAAAATCTACTTTAATACTCTTTCTTCATGACCTTTTTAATGACTTTCTATGTTTTTAATTTACTAATAACGAAACATCTTTGTCGATTTTTCATAATCGTAAGCACATGAGGATCGATGGAAGGCGAGATAGACACGAAGTAGGACCTCGATTAATTTCGAAACAACATCCAAATCAAACAATCAAAATCTACTTTAATACTATTTCTTCGTGACCTTTTTAATGACTTTTTATGTTTTTAATCTACTAATAACGAAAATTTTTTATCGATTTTTCATGACCGTAAGTACAAGAGGATCAATGGAAGGCTTCTTTGTGATGATCGCCGGTACGAGATGACAAATATGCTTGAAGTTTCAATATTTTAGCTTATACATATATGCTTTTATACGAGATTATATTTCATATTACTACATCAAAAATATATTCCTTATATCTCATGTACGCATGACATTTTATCATGTACGACTAATATCTAATATACATGGAAATTACATGATAATACGTGAACGAAACTCCTTGTTTAATACGCACTTGCTTTCGTGATATTGTAGAGTCAATTGTTTCAAGTTCTATCTTATGTCATGCATCATCGATTGTTATATTTGAAAAAGGAGAGACATTAGGCATCTTTTATTCCACAACTCAATTGATAAGATTAACTAAGGGTTCAAATATATGTTTTTCCAAGATCTAAGTTGATCAAGAATCATGAATGAACCACACGAGCCTTTTGATAATATGCCAAAATGAAGCATCGACATGCTCGA